AAGACCTCGTCTGCGCCCTGCGACATCTAACGCTGTAGACGTCCCTGGTGCCAAAAATAGAACAAGGATAAAGCCGCTGTGTAATTGACTGACTCGTTCTAATCTTGTTAGACCGATTCGTTGGAATTTTAGCCACGGGTAACACAAACATCGGAAAAAAAAATCATCGAAGAAGAATTGCGACATCTTCGGATATCAAAGTGGGATATTGAGGTTTCGAATGGCAATTAAAAAAAAGTGAAGCACTTTATACGTACATTGAAAATAAAAACAAAATATTGCGCGAGAATAAAGTGAAAAATTAAGAACAACAACCGTTCGACGTGATTCCGCAGCTCGAACTGTAACATTACGCGAGATTGACTGATGTTACAAACGGAACCGGCAAGTTAGACACATATTTCGCGCGGTTGATTTCTATATTTTGCACAGATTATTAAATCCAATGAACCTCTCGGAGTCGCACATTACAACCGATCGATTTCTGAAAAAACTCCGACAGACACGATAATCTTCGTCGAAAGGTTAGCGTGAAGGAGCACGCTCACGATTTCGCAGGCCCGCGAGGCTCACAATTCGCGTTGAGGATTAGGAAATTCACGTAATCATCGTCCGTGGTCTCTGGATCATCGACCCGACGAATGCGCGCAAGCTATCAATTACGCATTATACACACTTGTTACATAGATTTTCGTACGAACTGGTTCGCTCGGCGCGATAAGAAAAAGACGTTCTCACCGTCTGTGTTTTGGGCACGAAAAAGCTACGCGTGAAGAGTAAAAAGGAATATTATGACAGCGCCCACGAGGTGTAAGAAAAATATGTGTGCGAAGAGCAAACAACGTATACGGCGAGGTATTGAGCAAAGCCCGAAGCGAACCAACCGCGAGTAAAGTCAGCTGAAGCGCGTAGGTAGAACCGACAGCGTGCGAAGAAATCTAACCTTTCAAAATATATTGCATCGCGCGCTTGCTCTAATGCTGTTAAAAAAACTTTTTGGAGAATGTAACGGAAAAATTATAGTTGAGACGTCACTTGATCCGCGTGTATTTTTTGCTACGAGATTCTCGAAAAGATTCGGAGAAATCTGAAGTCACTTCGAATCTTCCTCTCGAAAGAAGACATAATTACAACTGCAACGATTTATCACAATTGTTCCGTAATTCTGACGTGTGTAATTGCATTTTATTGATTGGTCGCGCGATTATCGCGCGAAGAAATCAATATTCCGCAAACATCCTCCTGCAAGCGGGAAACGTCAACTTTCCACGGGAGGGCAACGGATTGCCGCGCGTGGGCGGCGGAAAAATCGGCCGTGCCCTCCGGGCCCGCTAATTTAATTGCCGGTCTTTACATCGCAAAGGAGCGCGGCACGACGCGGTGGGCGGTATTTCGTACGCGCGCGTGCATATACGCGCGCAGGTGTACCGATAATAGTACGGTTATAATAACAGAGAGAGAGAGAGAGAGAGAAAGAGCGAGCAAGCGAGCGGCTCTCTCCTCTCGTAAATGAGCGTTCAGAAACGCCGACGCGCAGGAAAGTCACGGTGAGGTCGGACCGGACTTGAAGTAACCGGCGGATACACGCGTCAGGAAAAACATTTTCTCGTCATTCGTATCTCGTCGTACGATCTTCCTCCACGGATTGATCCAATAGCGATCGTGAGAGTCTGCTACATTCATCCACAGAGTGTTCACATCTCTCAGCCAAGTTACATTGCGGTCTTTACCGCGAGTCTGTGTGCCAAGTTTAATTAAAATTTTTTTTTGTTTCTACGATCTTTTTTTCACAATCTAAATATGAAATGATGTCGACTGTGTTGGCAAAGCAAAGAGAGAATAATACTTCGTCACAAAATTATTGTAATAACTTCCGCAAACACGAGATTTCTTTCCTCGTCACGTTCGCCGTGTATATATACATATATATATGTGTGTAATAATATTGTGTATATATTACCGACACATGCGCATCGATAATTTACGTTCGCTTATTTACCGCGTTTTACGCAGATAGAAATGATGCTCCGGTTGTGTGTAATCGTTTTTGCGGAATATCGCGTTTAAAGTGCCGCTTTAATGAAAACGCTATGGCGTGTCTCGCCGCGGGTGGGCTTGGTATTATTTAATTGTGTCAAGTACCTTAATGTACACGTAATGTTTTTTTTTTTTTTTTTTTCTACCAACAGCGATTTTAACCTCAACAAAATTTCTGCTAGCGATCAAATCACATTATTGAAATGGAAGGATGTCAAGTCGCGGGGGAATAAAAAATATCACGTGCATTACGTTCGTGGAGAAATTGAATTTTATCTCTCCAATTTCGGACGCAGATTCGCAATTAATAAAAACACAAACCGCTGAAACTTTCAATGTGTCCACGATGATTTTTGCGACGAATCCTGGCGATTGCCATTTGTTTATTTTTGCGACTTGTTTATGCACGCGCGTTTCATTGTAACGGCGAATTCATCGCGAACCGTGCACAAATACGGAAGCAGACGACGCGAATTAATCACGTAATGAATTTTGCGCGAGAACTAACTTATCTCTTCTCTTTCTCTCTCTTTCAAAGTTATCTAATAATTCTTCACGATGAAAACAAAGAAATTCAACTCGACGGAAATAAATGTAGTGAATCTAGTAAAATCAGTATTTTTCAACACAGAGATTATAGCGCGTGATGACATTGTCACGCATTTTGATGATGTATACGTGCGCACGTCTGTTGAGACAGCATGTGCTCCGATGTACGTGGTATGCAGAGACCTGAAACACGAGCTCTTCGCGCGAATGCTGTCTCGTGCCACCCAGAATTTTTTTGCTTCCCGGATTGTAATTTTATCCCATCGCTCAGAAAGAATGTTGTTCCCTGTATGTAGGTAGGCACTATCTCGCGAGATAGTATCGCTGTAAATATACTGTAGCGCCGCAGTGTGTGTTTAATTAATTTCCAAATATGATCAGCTGCAACCGGAAACTCCGCTCGATTAATTTATGATTCGTTCTGTCAGAACAGATAATTGTTACTGCAAACTGATTTTCATCACTTTATTGTGTGTGTATTATTATAGTGTATTATTATTGCGCGTGTATGTATTATTGCGCGAAACAATTTTCATGTGTTGCGCTCGTATTTTACACAGAGAAAGAACAATTTGAAACAAATATCTGCAAAACGCATCATATAAGAGATATTAAATCCGCGCAATGAATATATTCATTACATTTCTATCTATCTTTTTCTCTCTCTCTCTCTCTCTCTCTTTCCGTGTAAACAATTCATGATTATGTTGCGTTTCCTCAAAATTGGTAAGCGTATCCGGGAATGTGTCACGCGCTTTTGTAGAGCGATTACAACACAGCATCACAATGGCGATACGATACAAAAGCTGTTTCAGCCTGCGCAGAGAGAGAGAATATCGCGCGACTGCGGGCTCGTTGTAATTTTAACAAGTGGCTAACACCGCGTCTGTTATTACCCAGCTTAATTGCCGGGTCGTGCTCGAGATATCGTGGAATCGATGGCGGTACCCGCGGGGCGTCCGTCGAAAGGGGACCCCGGAACCGAGGAAAAGGTCGTCGTGGAGAATTAATAAATCAGCTAGTCGGCGGTGGGAGGAGAGATGTTGACCACCGCGGCGTTCCTTCTTCATCTCGGTATTTCGTATCTCCCGATCTTACGGCATCCCGGGACGAAAGAAACCGCCTAATAACCGTCGCCTTAAGCGGGATACCCTCCCACGTTCTCCATCGCGCTACAAGATATTCTGTTTCTTTCTTTCTTCTGAATCGTACTACTTATTACCGGCGCGATATGATCCGTGAATATACCTGTGTTTCACTTTTCTTTTATTTCATTCTATCGATGTTATCGCGCCTGCGTGTGTTAATCGTGGGAAGAACAGTTGACGATAATGAGAAAACTCCCGCGCGGTAATGGGAGTCTGTTAGTGCGCGGTGGTGGAAATATTGCAACTTATTTTAATCGGGTCTATCGGATGTAATACGAGAATAAAAAAGTTGGCCTTCGGGTGTTGCTTCTCGAGAAAAAGATAATGATGTAAAAATATCGGAGAAAGCACGAACTGAAAAAAGTCAAATTAGTAAGAGAATAAACTTTTTCTTCCTAGTTTTTTTTAAATTAAAATGCGCTTTTAATAACGGAAATTTTATTTTACTCGCGATGACGCGACGTTGTTACTCCCTGTTAGAGCTTGTAATTGCTTAAATACTCGGAAACACGATCGCAACGGTTGTTATTTTACGATCGAGAGACGCAAATTTTCCTCACGCTTGTACAAGAGGAACACTCTGCATTCCCTTCGTACGTTGTAATTATAAAGTATCGATAAAGTATCAGCGCAACCAGAATGCCTTCCCATTTGGTTCGAGTTGCTCGTTGAAAAAAATTGATAGCTATAAAAACAGCGGGGCCATGTGCCACCATGCCCGGATAAGCCGAGTGGAACAATATCTCACAGTTTTCACTCCCGAGCTCGTTATGAATTCGATTAAATTGTCTTCGCTAAACGATGTCTATTTTTAAGTAACACGTGTGAAAAAGTTCGCCAACCTAGAATTAATAAAATGCTAAACTTCGAACTACACTCTAACAATTAAAACAATTTAAACACATTTTCTTCGTCTCTACGTCTTATATACGTTTTACGTCTCATTCAATTTTTTACAAGAAAAACAGATTTTACTTTATTCATTTCTTTAGTAGAACTGCAAATAAAATACACACAGAATAAAAAAAAAAAAAATTGTATGATATTTAAATGTATAATCTGATTTTTATAAAATTTGCATTCACGTCTCTTATAAAAACTTTGCATTCTTCTCTCCCCAAAGAATAGAAGCCGGCAATGGGGAATTGTGCATCGGAAAATCTTTCGAAAAAGGAGCGGCCCGAGTCGATCGAGTTTTCGCTCGGTTCGACACGAGGCTCGCCGCGAGAAAGTCGCGCGGAAAACTTTTCGAAGAAGAATCTTTACCTTGACAAGCAGGTGGATCGGCTGACTGACGCTGAGTGGCTTGCCTCTTCTGGCCTTTCCGCCTCCACCACCCAAACACTTTATCCACGGCATTCCTGAAGCGTTTCCTCGTCTCTGCTTGTTATTTGTAATTCCCTCTTTTCCTCGTCTCTTTGTATCTTGTTCTTCTCGCGATCCTTCTTCGCCTTCCGTTTTCTTTTCCGCCGTCTGAAGATTCTCTCTCTCAGGATTTTTCACTCGTCTTCTCTCTTCTCGAAACTTTTTCGTGTCCGATGCATCGCGCGAGCTACGATGAAAAAACCTCCAGTCCTCCCGGGAGTTTATGATCGCAGATTTCCCAAAATAAATCTGTCACGCGTTTCTCCCGAGAAATCGGAAAGTCGAGAGTTATGGACTCTCGTGGACTTGAGGATTTCGTGATGATTTGACGCGTGCTTTTGATGCTTTTCGACGCGGGAAAACTTTCTTAATAACAATTTTACATAGATATCGAAGAAATGCCGCTTTGTATGCGCAATACAAAGAATTGTTTTTTCCTTTAAACGAGTTTTCGACGTGAATATCTTCACCAAAGCGATTTATACTTTCTGGGGATGGAATAAATTCTTACTTTACGAAATAATACTTTCAAGTTGTTCGCGAACAGGATTTCCGCGATTCTGGTCTCCGCATTTTCACGGGAGTTTCACGTGAGGCGCGAAACTTTCGGCAGAGTAAATGCGCGCGGGCGAGATTGCGAGGATCTTCCTTCCGGTACGCCTATGAAGAAACGGTTTCGTTTCTCCGGTGTGTGTAGTTGAAGTTTTATCCGTGCGGTAACTCTAAACTGCTCTCGACCTCCTCAGGGAGATCTCGTAATAGCCGTGTTCACACCTTCTCGCGGAAGTATCTTCAAGGTCTGTCGTAAACCATTTGCGAATACTCGCGGAATATCACGGAGATACTAGAAGCCTCGACAGGGTGTCGGATAACTTTTCGCCCTTTTGGGACTTCGGGTTTGCTCGTGCCTTTTCTTTTTTGTCCTTCGGGCACTGCTTGAAAATGTTTGTATATTCAATTCCAAGGGACAGTAAAATTTTTACAGGCGTGCAATCTCGATTTATAATGTTCACGCCGCACTAAATGCATAAGTCAGCAATAAATTGCCACGTAGTTCGATAGAAATATGTAATTTCGATGTTTCTTTGTTATTATTCAGAAATATTTAATTTCGATGTTGCTTTGTTATTATTCAGTCTCCATTTAATGCAATAGTTTGTTATTGTGGCATATTCCATTTCCCGCAACAATTTTCTACATTTAATAAAATATTGGTTTTTCGGTTTTTTTGTTAGTGAGCAATTTGTCTCTTCTTCTCTCTCTCTCTCTCTCTCACCACACAAGAAAAAATTAAAGTATCACACTCGTCCAATTTGTCTTTTTTTTTTTTGTTATTTTTTTAATTCGTTCAATATATTTTTTAAGTTTTTCAATTTTTTTTGGTTTTTCTTTTTTTTGTGTTTAAAAGTCAGTGGCAAAAGCAGCACGCATCGATTTCCCGTATCAAACGCGATGCAATCATTACATTCGACAGATTATTGCTGTCATCGGACACATCCGCGTACTCCAAAAGAACCGATCTTCGCTTTTTTTTTTAATTTTTAATTCTGTCGCACTTCCGGCGCAATCTACACCAATTCCGTCGCTCGACGCGTTAACATGAGTCTACAACGGGAGGGAAGAAACGGGAAGAAAATGTTGTTACTTCGGAGTTAATGCGCAGGCGAGTTTTCCTCCTGGCTTTTCCCTCACGTGGCACCGCATCGGCGTGAAACGAGCGACGTCCGCTCTCGCGCGCGACTCTCGCAAGACTGGCGGCTGTCCGGCTTGCTATCGTCGGTTTTATACGCGCCTTGTCAGCGCGCTCGGCGACTGGGTCGTCGCTGGTTTGCGTTATCGCGGAAAACGTCGAAGACGCGCACGCTGTATCTTCGATCGATCTTCAGTCTTCCCACGATGCGTTATGCATTACAGTTTCGAGGAGAAACGCGCAGTCGACAAATGTAAACTAGCTAGCTTTCTATATAAACCACAATAGGTAGTCGCCTGAATTCTCTCTCCGAACGGAGAGAGAGATTATTGACTTTGTCTCTCTCTCTCTCTCTCTCTTCGAAATACTCACAGAATCGATACAATTGTCAAAATTCGCGTTGCGTCGAAACAGTTTCTCGTAAAATAACGTGAAAAAACAAAAAATCTTAGGCTTTGAAAATTCTCGATCCGAATTTTGGTAAAAAAAACAACGTTAAAAAATATTTGCAAAATTGTTAGGTTATTGTTTATCGTCGTTCATTGTGTGAATACATCAAAGGCGTGTTACATTATCGTATAGCGTTACACTCGGCGCGAGCACACAACGTCGCCATTTCTCAATTCCGTAACGACGATACGTCAAACTTTAATCGATGCGTCTTGAAAATTCAGATCGCAGTCTTTCCATTCTCATCGATCATGATGTTTTATTAGGCGGTATATCTACTTTTCTTGCCGTGTTTAGTATTCTTGCGTCGCAGAAGAACGTGTTAATTTTTCATCGTGGTTGGAAAAGTTGGAGCAAATTTCGTTAAAAATTCACCTCGTTGTCAACGCCGGTGTGTCATCGTCGCGTGTAACGTCTTGGACTTTTAACCATCTTGGCACTAAAAATGCACCATCATCTCCAGCAACCAATGTGTGTAACTTTTTGGTTAATAATGTGCGCTTTTCCCTAATGGGAAAATAAACCGTTTTTCAAAAGCAAAATAAACGCAGCAGCCGGTGAAAATCACAATGTTGCGTGTGACGGACGATAAGACTTAATTAAAGCCAACTGCGATATTTTTTTCTCTCACTTTTCTCTTCCTCTCTCTTTCTCTCACGTCGTTCTCGTACGACGAGATTATTAATGCAAGTGCGCGGTGCACGCTGCTACGTTCCGATCGTTGTGCTACACAAAAGTCGTGTGTCGTATCGCGTGCCAGTCGCCATTATTTACGGCTCGACCCCGTGTTACGATACAGGGGCCTCACGATCTCCTGCCGGGACCCACCCCGGGTCAGCGGCACCCTCCTGTCGCGGAATGCGGTTCGACAGATCGCAGTGTCTATGCCGATAAGCTGGTTTTGCCGATCTTCATCGTAAATTAGAAAGTCTCTCTTTATGTCGCAGCTCGATCAGCGATCTCGATCGGTGATGCAGGAGCAAAAGATCAAATCGAAAATTGCGCGTGCGCAGGCGAACGATTGACAGCAAGAGATCGCTTATTTTTACGCACGGACGTCTCCGTCGACTGGTTAGCCTCGCGGTCCGCCAACGACTGACAGAAAATGCCAGTCGGCACTATGAAGAGGCCCGGAGAGCGGCCCTACCAGAGCAAGCGGGTTCCGAAGGGACCAACAATCCGTGTCGAATAGCAGCCGTCGAGACTGCTCCGCTCTTTGTAGCATCTGCGACCGCCCGGCCGGTCTTTGGCGTTGTCTGGCGAAGGCTCGACGTGGTTTCGAGGTCGCCTCGTGCATCGATTTGGTTCCGGTCGCGTTTACGACACAACTTCCGCGGAGGATTACGTCGCAGGAAGTTAGCCCTTTGTGTTCCGTTGTGGCGGCAACGGCACACGTAGCGCGCAGGTGCACTTGTATGCGCTCCCGCTCCGGTCTTGAGCGCGCCAAATGGAGGTTTGTCAGATAGTTAAGGTATGTAGGGGTGAGAGCGGAGGCGGAGACGATATAGTTATTAGTTATTGCTTCCGTGTCCACACACAAGTTCGAGCAACTTGTCCGAAGATAACATTTTCCCTTCTCCGTGAAATGTTGCTATTACTTAAAAAAGACTTTGCTCGTCTTTCAAAGGTTACGATTTTACGAAGTAGATACTTTTAACATACCTCTGCTCGATAGACAATCTTTGCTTGTCACAAAAATTGTCGAAAGCCGGAGCATCGTATTGCAATCTCTCTCTCTCTCTCTCCATTTATGACCATAAAAAAATGCATACCGTGGTTTGATAATAAAATTAGATGCCCCATTGGTTGAGAGAGTGGTGTAGTTACGTATAGGTAGTACGGTCTGTGTGTTACAAGAAGGGTATCAACGAGGAACGCGTTTACATCTCGTCCTAGTGCAACGACGTGCGGTGTTCTTTACGGGCGTCCATAAACTCAGTGCCGTACTAACCTTTACCTTTATTGTACGACGTGACGATGACGCGACGAAACAGCACAAACAAAGAATAAGTTGGGAATTTGAAACGACATCTTTGAAAACTCGTTTGAGATCCAAGTGGGAAGATTTGCGACTTTGGCGTAAACGTGTGTGTGTGTGTGTATGTGTTTTTTCAGAAAAATTAATTTAAATCTCTAAAATTTGTATTTTAAAATAAACGACACACAGACGTGTGTGTTAAGTTGTTGTTGTACACAATTACGTTAATGTTGAGAATAAAAAATTCGCAATTTTTATCAAAACACTTTATTTAATTAGCAAATGTTTATTTTACATTAAAATGTAAATTCTAGAAGAGATATTTGAAGACACAAAATAATACCGCGTGAACAATAGCGGTATTAATTTGCATGTAATTTGTGTGAAAGTTGACTTACAATTTTTGCCGATGCAAATTGCGAGATATTCAAAGCTTTCTACTATGTTTCAAGCAATATACAACAATATTCAAATTAATCGGTTCGAGAGTGTCTTTTAAATTGCAGCTAAAACGAGTTATGGGTCGGAATTTTGATTAATCCATTTATACCGAGAGGATTTTCGATGACAAAGTGCTCCGACATCTCCCGCTAGATACATTACGACGACAGCATCGAAACGTAACCCAATTTCTCGACAGACTCGGCTATAATTGCCGACGTAAACTCCCGCGCGCGTTAAAGAGTCTCTAAACTCTCTCGTATCATCCCCCCGACAATATGATTTAAAGATTCCCGGCTCGTCGCGCTCGGAAAACCGAGCGTACAATTTACGTCGGTCGCGCGGGTTTTCTCTTCTCGTCTCTTTCTTCGAAACCACCGGCGGCGGTGGAGCCGCTAATTAAGTTTGCACAGCACTGCCGTCGCGTACAAGGCGGGGAAGTATGTAACTTTCTGTTCGGGGAGAGGTAATGCGAGTGGAATACTTAATATCGGGCGCGTAAGCCACGGTACTTATGTAAGTCTATATAAGCGCGCGGGTATACTTGTACAGGACGGTTCATTCAACATCATCATCTTTTATAAGTACCCTTCTCGCTACGCCTATCCCAAAGCTATAATCGTTTCCACAATTTACATACAGGATTCAATATTGTAAACGATATCGCAACAGAAATTGGACGCCGATACCGAGGAGAATTATAACGTTCTCGTAATGTAATTAGCGTTGCGTAGATCTTTCCCAACCGCACGAAAATCGAGCTATCGCAATAGCGCGCGCTACGCACATCCCTTCTCCCGACAGTGATTAATATATCGCGAATTACACATCTCAAATTCAATGTTACGTACGAAATTGCAATATCGTGTAAATCGATGCGCAAGAAAGCATCGATTTGAGTTTGCTCATCTTCCTCGCTCGGTGGAACAACCAAAGTCGCGTCCCGCTATTAACACGAGACACAACACACGGCTTGACGTAACGCGAACGTTCACCCCCTCCCCTCCTCTCTTTACCGAGCAAAATGCAATATCGGAGTGCTCCGGAGTGCACCTATGCACATGTCGACGCCGCCAGTGGCGTACGCAGAGGGAGAAGTTGCAACCCGACCTGACGCTATCAAATGGCGGTAGGGTTGGCCAATTTTGGAACCACTTTGTTCCTGTTAACTTTCGCATCCGCACGGCTCCAAATAGCTAAACGAACGCACGGCTAAACTCCGAGGAGAGAGAGAAAGACTCGACGTGCATTTGCTTTGCCTTCCCCTCACGTAAAAGCATATTTCGATGTAATGGAAGTTTTTCTGAAAAGAGAAACTTTTTTAAAACTGGAAAAAATGCACTAATTTGAAGCGAGCAAAATGTTGCAACAGAAAAGAAATAAAAAAAAATTAGAAAGCTTATTTAATATGTTCGCTAACGCGCACTTACGTTTCTGACTTTTAGAGTTGATTGAACCTATCACGTGCAAAAGAGACGCGCGCGGGGCGTTCTCGAGAAAGAATTCGGCACGGGAGCTTGAAATGCTGTTTTAGCGAATTAGCGAAGTAAAAAAAAAAAACGTTCGGTTCTGCGAATGGCCCCATTAATCTCCCCGATATTATTAGCCCTGAGATACTCGTCTCTGATTCACGTGCCACTCCCTCGACGTTCTCCACGAGCGGCCTCAGAAGCGATCATTACGCCACTGATCGACGCACACGCGTGT